GTCCTGTTATTTTTCCTAAATCTTTTATAAATGGTCTAGCATAATTTACTAATCCTAAGAATTTTTGAATTTGTTTTAAATCTTCTAATTTATCTGAAAATTCTAAAGCTTTCTTAGAAGAATTTTTGAATTTGTTTTAAATCTTCTAATTTATCTGAAAATTCTAAAGCTTTCTTAGCAATATGAGGTTGTAACTTTATTTTACCTTCTCCTATGTTAACTCCTAAAAAATCTATAAATTCTTTGAATAAAATCATTTTCTTCTTACTAATTATTAAGCCATGTTTGATAAATTCTGAAAATACTATTTGTAAATGTCCTCTATGTTCTTGTTTATTTTTACTAAATACTAAAATATCATCTATGTATACTATTACGAATTTACTATGTTTGTTAAAAATACTTTCCATCTTTCTTTGAAAAATACTAGGTGCATTCTTAATTCCAAATGGCATTACAAGCCATTCAAAATGTCCTTCTGGACAGGTAAATGCTGTCCATTTAATACTTTCTGGATGCATTTTTACTTGTCAAAATCTTGACTTTAAATCAAACTTACTAAAAATTTTACAATCTTGTATTTTATTTATTAACACTGTCTTGTCTGGTATATTATAAGCATCATCTATGGTATTATCGTTAAGTCTTTTATAATTAATTACCATTCTACTTTTTCCTCTAACAATTTCTGAATGTTTTCTGATTATAAAAGCTGCTGATCTATGAGGACTATCTGATTTTCTTAATAACTCCTAATTCTAAGAGTTCTTTTATATGTATTTTAAAATCTTCTAGGTCTAGGTTTGTGGCTTCAATATTCTTAGTTTTAATTATATATTCTGGATTTTTGATTTTAAGTTCACATAGGATTTTATCTTTTTCCCAATATTTTAGAACATTTTCACCTATAATTTCTATTTTTTCTAATCTAGATATTAAATTATTTATTTCTTGTTCTGTTATTAACATATCATAAATCTTTTCATTATCAATTAATTCTATAATTCCAAAGTCTATGTTTTCTAAATTATCTAATTCATCCTCTTTTAGAATTTCAAAGTCTATTTCTTTTAGATTGTCTTCTTCTATTAATTGACATTCTCTTTCTTTTTCACACTTACAGTTACTACTTCCACCACGCTTCTCTATGCACTCTGATGGGAAATAGTTAGTCTGTGTTGGTGTAAATAAGATATGTTTTTGTAAATGTAAAAAGTTTTTAGTAATTGTAACACTTCCATTATCTTTTAATAAAAAACTTAATCCTATAATAAAATCTGTATTTTTAATATTTAAAGGTCTAACCCAAATTGATTCTTTTGGTAAGGTATATTCTATACTTCTACCACAGTTTATCTCAAAATTGATCTTACTATTTGATTGTAATAATTCTGTGTAAGTATAAAGTTCTCCATCCATTTGTTGTGCTTCTATTGGTTTGTCTGAGTATGTTATATATTGTTTTGGAATTAATTTTTTATTAATTATACAATTGCTACATCCTGAGTCTATTAATCCTAAACATTTTATTTCATATTGTCCTATTCTTATATAACATTTTACCTTAATACTTTTAAATTTTTCTGGATTACATAGTACTTGAATATATTCTTTTTCTTTATATTCTATACCTTGACTATGTTCTTCTATTTCTATTGTTTTTCCTTTATTGTTATATTCTAACATTTCTATCTTATTTATGATAAATTTTTGCATTTCTTCTAAACTTTCTATTCTTTTTCTAATAATTTTTATTTCTGAAATTTCAATTTTTTCTTTTAAGATTTCAGAGTTAACTTCTTCTTTTTCAATAAAATTCTTTTCTTCTAAACATTTTATACAAGCTTCTTTATAACATTCTAAACATTTAGCTCTAAGTTTTCTAACTGGGTACCAATTACATAAATAACAAGCTATATTATCTACTCCTTTATATTTTTGCCAATTATGTAGACATTCTATAGTTATACTATTCATTAAATTTAATTCTTCTTTTGATTCTGATCCTTCATGTAATTTTATATTAGAAAATTCATCTATTATTTCATAATCAGATTTTTTATTTTCTTCTAAATTTCTGTCTTCTATCGATATAATACTATAAATAGATTCTTTATCTGAAATATATTCATCTAGTTGTATTAGATCTTCATTAGTGCATTCTATTAATGTACACTTTTTATCGTAGTTATTTATTCTTTTTGGACAAGTTTTGGATAAATGTTCATTACTATTACAGACATAACAACTAAGTCTATTTTTATAAATTCTTTCTGGTTTAAATTTTCTGACATGTCTTTTTTCATCTAAGTATGGTTTTCTTTTATTAGATTTTCTAAGAAAATATCTTTTCTTAAAAGGTCTTTTATTCTTTCTTTCTTTATTACTGTACTTATTTTTTCTTGAACTAGAGGCTCCATAAGTTTGTAGGGGTAAAAATGTCTTTACAAAATTTATAGTCTGTCTTTTTAAGTTGTTTTTGAATTTGTAATTCTACACATTTATCTTCTAAACATCTTATTACATGTTGTATTCTTTGTCCTATACTCCATTATTTTTCTGGTTCTTCTTTTACTGCTGGTAAATTATTCCATTTATCTGTGATTTCTAATCCTAATGGTTCTGGTAATTTATAAAATAATTTATTTCCTATTTCTTGATTAAATGTATTTCCTGATATTGAAGTTAAGTAATGATACTCATTTAAAAAGTTCTTAACATATCTTCCTTTAGTCTATTTATAAAGGCTAAATTGTTCTAAATCTCTCATAACTTTTCTTTGTATACTCATATGTTCTGAATTTGGATCTGCTCCTATTATTAAGATTTGTATTTTATTAATAAAATTATAAGGATTACTTCCCATACTAACTAGTTGTTCAAATTCTTGTTTTTTTTCTAATTTGAATGCTTCCCACATTGCTTTTACACTTTCTCCTAAAAATGTTTCTAAATATCTATACATATCTAAAACTTCCATTTCTTGAAAATTTCTAATATAATGTCCTATTATAGTATTCTTCCAAACATCTATAACATTATTCCATGTCTGTGAGTCATGTGCTGTAATATTTAAAATCTGTGCTTTGTGATCTGATTGGAATTCTATTTTCTTTTCTAAGGGTCTTTCACTTCCTCTTGCTATGTATTTTCCTTCTGTATTATTATATAAAGGATAAGCTCCTCTTGGAGGAAATCCTCCACTATAGACAATTGTTTCATGTTTAACTGTTCTATCAAAAGGAGTGTCACTAAAAGTTTTATATGTATTTGAGTCTTCCATAAGTTCTTTTATATAACTAAAATCTGAATTATCTGAATCATTATCTTCTTTAATAGTTCCTATTCTTATGTTTTGTTCTTGGTCATAATATAAATATTCAGATTCTGTAATTGTTTTGTTAAGGTACATTTGATCTTCTAATTCTAATAATTCTTTATTATCTAAATTCATTCCTAATTCTTTTGGATAGATTATTCTATCAAATTTTTCATCTATTAGATCTACGTGAACTTGATTTTGAAATGGTTCATTTTGTTCTTCTTCAGGATTGGTTTCTTCTTCAAAATCATTCTGTCTTTGTAATTGATTATAGTCTAAAAATCTTAAGCTAGTTCTTCCATGGATATCTTTATAAGTTAATGCTTCTTGTAGTGCTATAATCATCTCTTGATTTTTTAAGAATTTATCCATGTCTCATTCTAATCCTGCCAATTGTTCTGATGAGTATTCTTTAGGTTTTACCATATTAATTCCTTTACTACTCATTAAATTTACTACTTTGTCTATATAAATCTTATATTTTGTTTGAGAATTATTTGAACATCTTCCTAAAAATTCTATGCTAATTAATAAATTATCTCCACTTTCTACTTCTTCATATCCTTTTATTTGGATTCCTATTTTAATTTTATCTGAAAAGTCTTTAATAGTTAATAAAAAATCTGGGTTACAATAAATTATTCCATTATTATTATTCATATCTACTTTTGTGCTAGCAATCATACTTTTATCTATATTATTAATTCTTTCATCATATATAGTAACTAAAACCTTACATCCTAAATTTTTTCTCATTAGTCCTTTTATTCCTATAACTATTAATCCTAAATGCATAAATCTAAAAATTTTCTTTTTTAATTCTCTTTTAGAGTCTTCTGATATTAACTTTAATTTTCTTACCTGATTTCCTATGCACTGAATAGATACTTCTCTACTATGTCTGAAAAATTGTGTTTTTGTTTCAAAAATTCCCCTATTATATAATATTTCTGGGTTGAGAATTCTTAATCCATTAGTCTGAAATCTTTGATAATCTTGTTGAGGATCTATAATTTCTTCTATATTTTGATTATATTGAACTGATCTGTTTAAGACTCTTTCTATTATATTTCTACTTATGCTTGAAGTACTATTTCTAGATGTAGATGCTTCTTCATTTATAGTTCTAGACCTTCCTAAGAAAGGATTGGTATTCATCTTGAAAATTTATATTCTTTAGGTAATTTTCTAGTTACCTTTTCTTTTCCTGTTTCTCTGAAACTTAAATTTTCTAATGTAGATGTTAAGGCTTTTAAGTTTTTTTCTACGTTTGATGTGGTTCCTATTTCTATTTCTTTAGATTTATTAGAGTCTAAAATTCTTTTTATTTCAGTTAAATCTACCTTAGATGGTATTTTTTCTAATTTAACAAGTTGTTCTAAAATACTAGAATTTTGATTTTTAATATAATCTAAAGATTCTTTATATTTTTAATCTCTTGATCTCTAACAATAATATTTTCTTCTATGATTTGGGTTAGACCTTTAAATATTAAAGATACAGATTTTATTATAGGATTAAGTTTTTTATTAAAAGATAATGGAAGTGTTACAATTACTAAAGACTTTTTACATTTACAAAAACTATATATATATATATATATATTGTACAACGGTTTAACATCAAAGCTTTTTAAAGATGGAGAAGTAGAGGAGAAAATAGGTTTTCAGGTCTTTACCTTGGCTCCAGGCCATCATTTGCCATGGTTGCATTCCTACTTTCCGACATAACTTCAGTTGGAGATATCCTCTTTGCAATAGGGTCCCCTATAACCAAGAATCTACAAAGACTAAGATTCAACTAATAAAGTCAAATTCACAAACACCTATAAAAAAGAAAAAACAAAGAAAAATGCCCGAATATAAATAAGAATTTATCCAGTAAGATTATGACACCTTGCTTCCAAACATCAAGAACAAGCTGGAACAAATGAACATGGTGAACCATATATAATAAAGATTAAGAGAAAATAATAGGTGCCTATGACACAAATATTATTTTAGCAAAAAATATGGTGGCATGCTCCAACTTTTATTGCAATTTAAGATTTGCAGAGAAATTCAAGTGGAAATGGATGGACAATTTCGCAAAAAAGTTGTGTTATAAATAAATTACCAACTATCAGAACATCGTTGAGAAAAGCAACTCTAAATTTGAAGTGGCTGTCCATGTAAGTTTGTCATAAAATAATCATGTTGTAAGAGAACTCAACACCTTCAGGTACGAGCAACCATAGGTCGTGGGTTGACTTTCTATCAAAGCCGCCAAATAATAACTAACGTGAACCAACACAGTTCATAGAATGGTATGCTCAAGCAGCTGGGGGTTCATTGCTAGTTGGCAAGCGTTTCCACCGCGCAGATACTAAATGCAATCATAAAATAATCATGTTGTAAGAGAACTCAACACCTTCAGATACGAGCAACCATAGGTCATAGGTTGACTTTCTATCAAAGCCGCCAAATAATAACTAACGTGAACCAACACAGTTCATAGAATGGTATGCTCAAGCAGCTGGGGGTTTATTGCTAGTTGGCAAGCGTTTCCACCGCGCAGATACTAAATGCAATCATAAAAAACAAAACTTTCAAAAACTTGTGCAAATAAGAAAAAAGTACAAGGGTAATGAAATTCACAAAACATTCTGTAAATTATATATTTTAGAGGAAGGGAAACTCTCTCCATCATGGGGAGCAGGACGAAGAAAAGTGGGAACCTTATTGAACATGTGTTCAGATCAACAATGTAAAACGAGCTCTACGATATCGTAAGAAATACAAAAATCAAGACAGGAACTGGAAAAATCACAATCACCATCAGGTAGTGTTAATCCAAAGTAAACCACCACCAGCTAAGTAAGGGCAGATGCATAATACTGACCCCTGTCTAGAACAAGACAATCGTTGTGATAAACATCATAATGGCTCAACCAACCACCAGTTCCACGCCCTCCAAATAATAAGAGCTGAAAAGAGAGAATATTTGTCAGTTATCCTTCATGAGTACAAGAAAAGCGACAGGTGTCATCAAGACTGGCAGGGGTTTAGATTCTCTTCAACCTCAACAGATTATTCTACGGGATGAATAAAGCTACTATAAATGCTATCTCCACACAAATCATAAGTAGCTTTATAAGCCTATAACACATAATTTAAAGTTCACAAAGTAAATAAAAATTTTGTTCAATTATCGTCATGCTTAAGTCAACGGGCCCAGGAGATTCAATAAATGTAGCATACACTAATTCATGACACGTGAACCTTTTGAAATGCATCTGTTAAGGAAATTAAGCATCCATGGTCAAGACAAAAGGTGCAGATACCATCTTGACCACAGAAATAAAGCTTCAAATCCTGAGTTTCTTTTAAGCAAAAATTTATCAATAATACACCAAATGAGGAGCCGATTCAAGCACAGAAAGTCATAACAGTTACATAACTGAACATCAACATAACCCTCCCATTTATCCCGAAGAAATGTAAATTCAAAATAGCAAAAAAAGCCTCGAAACCCTCAAATAAAATGGTATAATTTCCTCCAATGTCTCTAATACAGGTTCCTTTCCACTACCCTCTTAGTTACTAACATCATGTGTGAAAAACTTAAATGAATATGACATCTATAAACAACAAAAGAAATCAGGTATTTACATAGTGCCCTCCAGATGTGATGGTGTGTCCACAGTAGGGTGAAGGAGCTTGACCAGGAAGCTTCAGTTGTGTCCATCCAGGAGTTTCATTTCTTCCTCCCACAGTAAAGACATGAAAAGACAGATTAAGCATACAAAAAACAGTTTTCAAAAAGGACACATAAGCCAATGAACGGATAGAGTAATGGAATTATTATTATATAATAATTATTCATTTTCTATGATAGAAATAGCTACGAATGATGTGACTAATTTACATACACATGGGACATGCTGACAGATAAATGCATAGGAAAATGATAAAATAAAGAAACTAAAAGTGGGTTTTAACCTATGAAATGCAAGGAGCGATCTTAAAAAAGTATAGGACAACAGACTTATGGAAGACATAGTTTCATTATTACACATATAAAACATTCTTTTAAGCATACTCTCCTTTGCTTGACTGACTACTTACAAAACAAAAGAAGTATCTTCCTTGAAACATCAAGATGAAGTTACATGAATTACAACATAGGTCAAAACTCATTAATAAAGAGGAAAAAAAATGAAATGGAGAAAGTAACCTTCTTCAATAACGCCCTTTAAAGCCCACAGATCAGCCATGATTGGTCCGCCACCTCCTACAAAAGTTTGAAAGATAACTAACATCCAGAAAGAATGAAGAGGAAAAACCAGTATAGCTATTCATGAACACTCATTCAAAAAAATAGAAACCCCTGAAGGTTGTCTTGCGTCATTTTACCAAGATCATTGGGCCTCAAAAAAGTTCATAAACAAATTACAGAGTTTGGATCATACGTTCATGAATTTGGCCTCGAGAGTAAGGTGAAAGAATGCTGAAATGGTCAAGAGAGGTGCATGCCATCAGCATTTTTCGAGTCATGGCCTAATGTTTAGTGGTTATCAGGTATCCAAATTGCAGGCCAGACATGAGGGATCATACTCTCTTTCTTCCACGGACATGACTGATGTAAAAAGTGAATTTAAATACATGAAATTATATAATTGGACAGGGAAAATTATAACATGTTTGCAGATCGTATGATACTATTTTGATGTAAAAATATATTATACATTTAAATACTATGCATTTTAGAAATTCCTGTTTTAGCTTATGACTTCCATTTAACTTCACATTGTAGTTGTTCAATTAACAGACATTAAAACTTAAAAATTATGATTAAAACCCTAGCTCCAGAACTGTATTGTTGATGAAGCATTGAATGATATAAGTTTAAGTAGAATGTTAACATCAGATTTGCTTATATGGTAATAAATGTTAAAGCAGATTCAGCTAAACACAATTCTAATATTCTTTCAAACATCCAATTTGGTGGAGTTCTTACCCATTCAATTTGTTGAAATCCAAATGAAACACTGCTTTCCGAGATTGTATTGTGATATGCTAGAGTGCAGCAGTTTACTTACATAAGCAAGCACAAATTCAGTTGTTCAATTGATATTACTTTAGCATATGCCATAGTGCACCTAAAATAAAATAATATCAGAACACAAAAAACAAATTAAAAAGGGAAAATCCTTTGGCCATGTTAGTAGTAGCCAAAAGATGCTAAATTACGTCTACCACCATACATAAGCAACCACTTCTCCACCATTGTTACAGAATGCCCACATCTTGGAAGAAGTATTGTTCCAGAAACCGACAACTCAGTGCACTCTAATGAAACTGTTCTAAACGCATATCAAATATTTAAGAGCTTGATATGGTAGGTTTAAGTAACAGCAACAGAAAACTTAGCAAAAGTGAAACATAAACAATACTTGTGTCTAGGACATAGACGTCTGACAGCCATTTCTTACCATCTCAACACCATACCTGCACAAAATTCAACGGATCTTAAGAAAACAAATCAGATGAACCAATAGAATACCATAAACCAAAAAGTATACCCTTACTTACATAACAACTTTACGAGCGACAATGGCCAAAGTAGCTGCAAAATCCCTTGGAGAAGGAAAGTCACCAAAACTTGAAAGCTCTGACCATTGCCATACATCTGTCAACCAATAGAACATTGACTAAGCATTTTAAGATCCATTTACCCATCACCATTGATTGGCTAAGCTAGGAACTAATAGAAGCTCGCCAGTATCTAGGACCCAAAAATCTCCCAGACATGTAGCTAACAGTGATCACAAACCTTTTACTACCAGACCTCCCACCAAAAATTTTACTCACTTCTTATGTCCCTTGGGATACAGTTCAACTGGTGGATCAATCAACATTGGCTTGCTTCCAACGACAGGGTGGAGAGTTTGATTCCTGGTGGAAACCTAAGGCCAAAAATTTGGTATGGAGTAATCATTGTAGAGGAGGGTCTCTTGTGCGCAGAAGTGTACAGTCAATGGGGGAAACTTGTGATCCAGTTGAGGCATAATCCTCGATTTATCCCTCCAAAATTCTAGAGGCATGGGTCTTGGAGGTCCAGAATGTAGTTTGGTGTAAGTTGGAATACGTGGATATCAAAAAAAAAATGTGACAATCAAGTGAAACTGCAATGTGGAAAGCTCGTGGACTTGGGCCCACTAGCCCATCACAATATTACCTGTGCACTCTGGCTGAAACCACTTGTTATCTGAAACATCCAAACTTTGAACCTTATAATATGGAGAAAAAAATTAACAAATGATTTTTCTTGAAAAAGTATGTTCTTTACTTCTTGAATCACCTGTCCTTGTTATTGTGGTGAAACACTCTATGATCAGTTTAGATTCGATAGCTGAGAAGCCGTAATGAATGAAAATGATCTCAAAATATATTAAACTACAATATTCAGTGATACATTCAGCATTATTTGGGAGAGATTTTCTCGAGGAAAAATATTTTCTTTTGGAGAACGTGTGATTTAAAAACAGCGAAAAGTTAAGGGCAAACGTGAAAATTCCTAAAGCTTCCCTTACTGCAAATTAAACCAACGGTAAATAACCTAAATCCTCTATGATTTCATAATTTGCACGCAAGAAATGATAAACAAAATAGATAAAAGGAAGAAACTAATAAAAAACTAAACTCATTTCCTCACCTTCGAACAAATTATTTCAAGTTTCAGTTTTTAATTTAAAACTTAAATTAATTAAATTCACGCAATTCCTGAGCGTACGGTATACTTGTAACCTATTGACAAACCCAACCAGATCGAGCACAATTCAATGCAGTTGATTTTGAAGATTAAAATAGTGTAAAAATAATAAAAAAGAGTAAATAGAATACCACTGTCATAAACAGTGACATCATTGAGGAATTTCTTGTCGATTAGACCTCCGAACGCCACGATCTTCGAATTCCCGATGTTCACAGCTGTGTGACCACTGCGAGTCAATCAGACAGTATTTGAACTTTGAGTAGCAATCAAATCAGCATGTGTGCCTAGTCGCTCGGATTATACGTTCTATAAATTTATCACGTATCACGTATGAATAGAGGGAGAGCAAGTGCCTTCGAGGTTGGGGAAGAATTCCAGTAAAATCTGAAGAAGAAGCTCGAACCCAGTGATAGGTCTTCATCTCTCTCGACCGAGCACTTGCAGCAAAGGGAGCATTGTTTCTTGAACTGCGACCTCAAATAGGATCGTAGGTACCACTCGGACGAGAATAACTTCAACGAGATGGTGCACCTTTAAGGGAGCGCCACCTGGCGAGTGGCCCACCACACACCCGTGTCGACTATGTGATTGTCGGGACCTAAGACGAAATTCGTAAAATAGACCCCCTGACGAAATCAACGTAAATGTAAAATTTTATAGTATATTATGCTTCCGGGCGAAATCAACGTTAATGTAAATTAGTTAATACGTGCGTCGGTGCAATTGTTCATCCTACAATAACCAATTATATAAGTCGACCATGCTACAATTATATAAGCCGACAAGATTTCAAACATTTTCAATCTCTTCAATAACAAGTTAGGGGCAAGCATTACTAAATTGAGAAGTGAAATTTCAACGAAAATTGTGGAATCATACCCTTTAGAATTTCACTGTCACAACTCACGAGTTTGAAATAAAAAATTTAATAAAATTATGATATTTTAATTTACACATTATCAAATTTAAGTAAAATTAAATTTAGGGCATTGAGCAGAAATTATGAAATGACACGATGTGGAACTTTGAGAATTCCACTGTCACAACACACAATCCTGAAAGCAAAATTTAACAACAATCAAAAATCCCAATTAATTGTTGTCGATAAATTTAAATTATATGTGAAGATAAAGTTTGGTGTTGTTTAAGCATTGGAATTAATAAATAAAGATTTACCCGTTATGAAAACCATGGCTAAGGTGGCTAGGTGATTAGGTGAGCATCTTTTCAATGTTTTCATTGGTTCAAATTCCTAAATAATGCTCTATTGGAGACCTCTCTCTTTGGCCTTTGCTTCCATTCAATCTCGTGTTCACCGAATTTTCATACGGTTTATTGTTTCATAAAAATTACATATCAGCGTAAAAGGAGAGGAATGAACTCACAACTAAGATTCCTACAAATCATAGAGCTCATTGCAATGCACAAATTCTAGGAATTTAATTCAACAGCCTAGTACCCACAGCCACAGACCACAATACCCAAAATTGAAACTCCATCTCAATTATCACTAATAATAAAGTAACTGGAGTGATTGCTGTAATTAAATTTGGCATTATATAATACCATTGCAATGGTTAAAGGTCTCAAAAGGATCATCACTCATCAAGTAAACACTCAACAATTCTCAACAATTTATTAAAACATAAATAATAAATTTTCCTTCTCCACAAACCTCATAAAATCTTTAAGCAAAAAAAATTACCAAAAACCCGTAATTTTCATCAATTTACTCAAAAAGATGGAATGAAGAAAACTATCCAAAAGGAGATAATAAATAATTAATTAAAAAGAGAAAATTGTGCCTAAGTTTTAGACAAACATGAAATCACATTGAAATACAATACTGTAATAACATAAATATATTATTTTCACAAACATTATATAATTTTAAGTACCTTCATGCTCCAGTAATTAGGAATAATTGTCCCTCAAGATTCTCGACAAAGTTCCACAACGAAGAAGATGAAAATTTATGTTTTGTGTATATTCATTTATTCATATGCGCAATTAATTATATGTTAACATTAATATAAGAATAATTAATGATTAAATTAAATAGAAATAAAAAAATAAAATGTAATAAAAAGAAGAAAAATAAAGAGGAAGTTTCAGTTGAAGAGGCTGTGGGTTTTTTGCTCCATCTAAATTCTAATTACCCTATTCAATGAATTCAATGCAAAAAAATAAGAAGGAATACATACAAGTAAGCAGACACGCACTAGGCAGTGGCGTGGGTAACGTGGGTTGCCGTTCTCTGGTTGTTTCTTTCTCGCCTCTTCTCACCTCTCGCAATCGGGCAAACGGAAGGGAAAAAAATAGGGATTATGTATATATTAAAAAAAAATAAGGCTCCCTAAATTTTTGGACCAAAAAAAATGAGGCCCCTATATTTTTGGGCCTGAGGCAAGGGCCTCACTTGCCTTGCCTCGGCCCAAAATCGGCTTGGCATTGGACTGTACAACCAGTGGGCCATCAGTAGAGGTGACGCCTTGGCATTGGACTGTAAGACTGCCTTATTGAGGATCCAATACAGTTATGTTTGTTTTATTTAGGTTTCTTATCTCAGTCCCCATTTGGCCTCAATTTTGTGGAAATGAAAATGAGTGATGCTACAAAAAATCGTATATGTTAATTTCCTAAGTTTGAGAACTTTGAATGAATACGATCTTAGTCTTCCGATTCCTGAAACAAAGGCAATGAGGTATGTTCTCGTCGCCCCTCCGATACTTAAGTCAGAAAGAAAATTATATACGTGAGACTATAAACTGTAGAATAATGAAAACGTACCTGAATGATGACCTACGATTCTATATTTATAGTGGTGGGTGACATTCTCCTAGTAACTAGCTAGGTATCCCTATGCCACAGAGTCCTATTAGGGGAAAGAGTTGGACCAATGCCATAATTATGTTTGGGATAAAGTCCTTGCGGGAGTAAAGTATTAAAGTAGTCACGTGGGGCTAGAATTCCAAGCACATTAGAATCTTATTAGATTGTTGATGACATCTGTCGTGGGTCATAAAGGAAGTTCAATTCCCAAGGACCACGCATGCTCGAGGAGGTAAATTACAAAATGAGAGCATCGTACAATACAAGTCGTTGAGCATGATATCCCAAGGATGGCGATGCCGGATCACGACAATGGTGAAATCTCAAGGGGAGTCATTTCAAGTCTTCGAGGTGTACTGGTCGAGCTTAGCCAAAAGTTAGCATATCATTGGCCCCTGTGCATCCGTCCCTGGGATCGAGATAAAGACGCTATGCCAGTGGACGAGATGCATAGAGCTTGATTTTCGAGTGGTGGTGTCATCGAGGTTATAACGTTTCTAGGAAGAAGTCAGAATGCTAATGACGTGAGCACGAACCGTCGTAGTGAAAAAATGAAGTGTTTTTTCAATGGACGACACGTGGCGAGGGTCAAAGACTAAGATTGATGTGACCTTTGGTCTTCCCCCTTGGTCCTATAAATATACCCTTGGCCCTATTCATTTTCCACTTCTTATTCTCTGTGAATCTTTTCTTGCGAGGTCGAGCTCAAGCTAGAAAGATAAGATTTCAATTTGAGCATCGAGTATCTGAGGTAAGGTTCGAGAACCTTAAGTTATTTTGTGAAAAGTTTTTAAAATATAAGGATGTCGAGTACCGAGAGTGATCGAGGATTAGAGGCTTTGGAGGGATCTGAGGAGGAGGGGACACAACTCATTCCTATAGCTCTGCCTTTAGATGCTAGCCTTAGAGAGCATGGTAGTTTCGAGTTTGTATACCCAGACGTTTCTCGTGAGTTTAAGGAGCATTTAGCAATGCAAGTGGCGAGAGAGTTCGGGCTTATGCCTTATAATGACTGCAGGTCACCTGATCCCGAGGATAGAATGGCTAAAGCCCGGGACGGTGAGTTCATAATTTTTAGTGATTCTTTGAAGGTCGGGTTTAGGTCGCCGATGCATCCCTTCTTTGTAGGATTTTTGGTCGAGTACTCAATGTTCCCAGGGCAGTTAATGCCTAATGGTTGGAGGATGCTCGTCTATTTTTTTATTGTCTGTAGGTGTCTAGGTATAGTTCCTAGCCTCGACCTGTGTAGAGTAATGTTCGAGCTAAAGCAACTGTCTAGGTTTACATGCTTCGCCTACATTTCTTCTCGAGGTCGGTTTAGGACACCGAGGATACCGAGCTCGTTAAAGGGGTGGAAAGATAAATGGCTCTATGAATAGCTCGAGATCCCGATCTCCCTTTTTGGCCTTTGTGGGGATTCTCGAACACAGCAAAGTTCTGTGAGGGTCGAACCTACTTCTAAACTTTGGGGAGAGAGAGAGATCGGCAAATGTTATAGGATCTCGAGCTGCTGGTGTACGAATTGGATGATATCCTCGGGGATGATGTCCTCAATTTAGCATGTGTAAAAGGCCTTAAGGGTAGGGAATTTAATCTTCTGGCTATATATTCCATTTTATCTCGATCATATGTACGCACCTAATGCTTAAAATTTTTTGCAGAGAACATAACATTCGATCCATCAACTCTCCGTCGGGCTGTAAGCTCTAAGTCCGAAAAACCCCAAGCTCGAGCTCCTGGACAGAAGAAGGGGAAGAAATGACCTAGAGTTATTTCCACAGATATCTCTCATCGAGAGCCTGAGGAATCGTCGAGTTCCAGACCTCCTGCCCCGAGCCATTCAGTACCACGATGACCAATGAGCTCTCCTCGACCTCCCACGGGCCAGCATCAGCAGCTTTTTTCCTCGGGTGACGCCCGAGGTCGTTGACCTCGATGATGACTCAATTCCTCCGGTGGCCTCGATAATCGAGGACTTCGAATATTGTCACCTCGTGTTGAGCATCGTGGTGAAGTACAGGGGCGACGTTGGGTTCGACGAGGGCATGAAAGCCATCGAGCTTCTTACTTTAAAGGTATTGATATTTATCTATCAAAATTTGATGTGATTTTCCCGTTCTTATGCTCATTTTTTAATGACTTCCAGACACTCAATGTAGCTCGGGGACTGCATTTGCAAGGGATGGACGAGTGCTACAAGGTGCAAGGGTTGATCGAGGCCGTTGAGCTTCGAGATAAGAAGATGGATGATGCTGAGATTGCTCAAGCCCAACTTCTGAAGGAGAGGGATGATGCTAGGCTCGAGCTTGGGAAGGCTCGAGATGAGATCTGCGCTGCAAAGAACGAGGCTGAAGAGCTAAGACTCGAGCTTGAACAATTGAAGAAAGACCTTGAGGCCCGGGTTGAGGGGGCTCATGCTTCTACCATCGAGGACTTTAAAAAGTCCAAGGAGATGGATAGGTTGAAAGGTGAGTACGCATTAGGCTCATACCTTCATGCCTTGAAGGAAGCTCGAGCCTTTTCAGATTGAAGATGCCAGAGGTTGATCCCGAGGACCTCAAGACGATCCCGGAGATTGCAAACAGCCTCGACCTTTTAGATTCTGAGGAAGCGGGCGAGGATGCTCCCGGGGATGATGATGTTTTGGAAGAAGACAACCCTATGCTCGGGGATGAGGACTTGGATTAG